TAAGAGTACTGAAGTGTTTTCAGTAGAACATAGCTAACAATGAAGGACAAAACTGTTCATTAATACAAAATTAGCAAGTAAGTTGTATTCTTTTCTGGATAGCTTCTTCCCTGCTGTGTGCCTCTTTGTTTAAAATCAGCGTGTGAATTGGTGAAGGGGAGGAACAAGGATAAATGTGGTTTTGGTTATCTTTTGCATTAGAAAGCTATGTCCAGCTTGACCTAGTTAATAACATCTCTTCCTGTCTCTCGAACTTTGTATTTGGAGCCAAGCTACTGAGATATATATACAAAAGGTTCTCAAAATACAAATCGGCTATTGTTTTTTTTTTTCTTTGCCAAGCCCTAATAGCAAAATTCTTTTAGAAAGCAGATGCTGCATAGCCTACGTTCATTGCTGTAAATTTAAAGCAGTTTTAACTGCTTTGAATTGACTGCATTGATGAGTTGGCTGGATTTTATATTGTGATGTGAATTAATAGTGTTTTCACTTGGATGAGAACACAGTTATACAATATCTGCTCTTGTATATAGAGATATACTATATATGAAAAAATGTGATTAATGTGCAGACAGTTCTTTTATTCAGCATACAACCTGTATGCCTACAAAATCTATCCTATTAATTACTGTTTTGCGATGAATGCTCCACCATTTTGATTTATCTCAACTAAGTTCTTAGTTAATGTTGTGATTTTCAGTCTATGTGTCCAATATAAAGAATAAAAGGATTTTTATCATTTTCAGGAACAGAATAGAGGGGAAGGCAAGAGGTAGTGTTTGTGTTTTCAGCAGCAATATCTGAGAGGTAGAAGGACTAGGAGCTTCTCTGGGTGGTCTTACAGCTGTGAGATTTGCAAACCTATTTCCTTTGACTTTTGCAGTTGGTAGAAGTTTATTTGCAATGGAAATGGTGGCATATGGCCCTTCTTCTGCAAATGCTAGTCCAAGTATTTTTACAACCTTGTTTCACAGAAATAAAACCCACTGTGTTTCAGTAAGTTCTCCGTGGCTCTGTTTTGCCCCTTTACCCCAGAAGAACGAGGTGTCGGGGAGCTCTGGAATAACCCAGGTTACTAGGCTTCTCTCCCCGAAGCAGATTCAGATTAGTTCCATGTGCTGTCATGTGTGTTGAGTGGAGTCTTTCCTCAGGTGGGTCCCATACAACAAGTCTTGCCCATAAATTAACTACTCTGAAAGATTTTGTTCTCAAAACTGTCACTTGTGCATAGTTAATGCATGGTGGAGGGACAGCTGCCCAGTTGGTGGCTGTAACTTGCATAGTTTGTGAGGCATCTTTTGCCAAGACCTTTTTGTTCTTTCCCTCCCCCAGAGGGAAAGGCCTTGCAGCCCATGGACAGATAGGGTATTGTTGAGCTACCTTGCCAGGGAACACGTTGTATTTGCATTTCAGATGCCTGGGGCTTTGTGAACTGCATTGTTCCAGCCTCCCATGAATAGCAGCTATTGACCCCTAACAATGTACATTTGTTTAAATCAGGCCCTTTCCTCCTTTAATAAAAGCTTATTTTAGGACTAGCCCAACCAAGTGAACTCTTCTGTGCAGGCCCTTTTTCCCTTCTTTCATAGAAAGCAATATGCAAAATTAATTATTTAGTACAAGATGGAAAGCATTCTTCCCCTTGTGAGAGGCTATTTTGAATGCTGAGGTTTTGGCAAATATTGTTGCTGCTTAATGTTTATAATCTTTTCATTGCCCTTGAAAGCATAAACTTCATGTTACTTGAGCTTGGAGATTTTGGCAAATAATAAACTAGTGGAACAACAGGAGTTAGGTTGTCCTGAAGCACGTGAAGAACTTGACTGCATTTTGTCAAATTGGCTTTTTGTCTGTTTATACATGTTTTTATATGGATTAATTTTGTCTAGGAGGAGGAGGGGGAGGCTGATGAGTACAGACACTTAATGCCCACCCAGAAAGCATTTTTCTGGGTGGTGGCAAGTGTTGGGCTGAATTCCCTTTGCTACTTGGGGTGTCTGCAGTACATACCTCCCCTTGGCCATTAACTCTGCAGAGCTTGGTGAAATCAGTAGTCGCCATCATTAAATCTGTTACAATTTCTGAACAAAACTATGGTTATTTACTGGAGGGGGGTATAAGCCTTTCTCCTGTGGGGTTGTTAGGTCGAGGCAGGAAAGCCCAGTGAAGTAGAAATTTGCTGCGTGCTGAACAACCTTGCCATCCTTCCATTCTATGCCAGAATGACCCCATCAATAACAACAAAATATTCAAACATGAAGCAGGGATTGTCAGATTGAATGGAGTTATTTCATGGGCTGACAATTCATACTTACGGTGTCCTGTGATAACTCAGAAACTTCATGAGAGGCAATATTCCTATAGGTATTTCTGGTGGATGCATTAAAAAAGTATGTCGGGAGGGACATAGACATACTCGATAGGGTCTGAGGAAGGACCACAAAGGTGTGGAAGGGACTGAAGCATCACTCCTATGAAGAAAGGCTGAGAGAGCTGGAACTATTCAGCCTTGAGAAGCCTCTGAGGGGAGGCTTACACATATATATTCATCAGTATATAGAAGTATGTGGATGAAGGGTGCAAAGGGGACACAGCCAGACTCTTCAGTGGTGTCCATGGACAGCACCAGGGCAATGGGCACAAAATGAAATGCAGGAGGTTCCCTCTAAATGTGAAGAATCACTGTTGCACTGTGTGGGTGACCAAGCACTGGCACAGGTTGCACAGGGAAGATGTGGAGTCTCCGTTCTTGGGGATGCTCCACAGCCATCTGGACAGAGTCCTGGCCAGCCAGCTCTAGGTGTCTCTGCTTGAGCAAGGGTTTGGACAAGTTGATCTCCACAGATACTTTCCAGCTTTCTGTGGTGCACAGGTGAAGAGAAGTGGCTGAGGACATACTGCAGTCTGAGGCAAAAGACTCAGTTCACCGCACTTTGAGAAAGATCTCTCTTATTATGCAGTGCTGTGTGCTTGTGCCTTACAGCTTTAGATCCACGCTGTGGTGGACTGATCAGAGCAGGTGGCATCTGTGTCAGAGCACATTGCACCACCCCACAGGGGCTTCTGGGCAGCTGCAAGCCTCAAGTTTTCACTCCTGAGTGCTCTTGAGGACAATGGGCTGATGGCAGCAACTGCACTAATGTGAAAGACCCTTTGTCTCCCACCCCAGCAGTTGTAGATATTCCTTAATAATGAGGATGTTGCCTTCCAAGCTGTCATCACACCTACACCTGTACCTAAGGGACACAGGGCACTCTTATTTACTGGCTCCAGTGGGGTGGTACCAGAGGAAGTTCAAGAGTAGTGCCCTTGCATTGGCCTTCCTACCTGTGGAAGGAGCAGGGTGAGAGGTGCCCTCGGACTGGTCAGCATGAGGGTTTTCCTGCAGCTTGAGGATTAAAAACATATCACCCTGGGTTTTCTGCCAGCTGGAGTCTGGTGCAAACCTGGGGAGCAGGTAGAAGTCTCCCCACTGCTGTCACTGGGTTTTGAACTAAATACTCAAATCCTCTCTATTGCTTTTACCACTCTAGGGAGTTCTGTTCTGGCTGCTTCCCAGGCTCCTGCTCCTCCCTTCCCTCTTGGGTGCTAGCACACTTTTTTCTGTTCCCCTCTGCCCTCACCTTGTGCTTTTGAGTTGACATACCCTGCATTTGAACTGCCTCGGACTTGCTGTAAACTTGGAAACCATTTGGCTTGAGATTCTGGAGGTAGAAGAGGAAACAGCTCTGCAGGCATTTGCAGCATTTAAAATACAAATCTTTTTGCCGGAATGTGGAGGTGAAAAAAAATGAGGGATGCCCTTACCTGGTCCTCTGCATGCAGCTGAGCTCTTAGCATTTGCAGAAATCAAGCAGCAGGAGTCTTTACATTGTGAGTGGTGTGTCTCAGTGCTGCTGTTCTGCCATCAGAGAAAGCAAGGACAACTTTTGGATGTTAGCACACAAAACTAATCATTTGAATTGGCTTTTCTTGGTGATCGTACACCCAAGTCACAACCTCATGGTTATGAGGGTATATCCCAGCCCTTTTCTACTTATTTGGTAGGAGAGAATTTTGCTCTTCTGGTGGAAATAAAAAATCTCCATTCTCTAGATACCACTAAACTGTCATCTTTCTGATATGAGCCCTGCTGTCTGTTTGCAGAGAATGGGAGCATAGCTTGGGTTGGAGGTCAGGCCATGGGGTGCTGCTGTCTTGCTCAATGTTTTCATGGCAGCTGAAGCCTTCTGCACTGGAGCAACTTGAGTGGGTTTTGTTCGTGGATGGCTTTTGCTGCAGCATCAGCTGTGGTTCCTCCTCCCTTGTTCTCAGTGCTGGTCATGTCTGTTTTGTTGATGCTGGATCTACCAGCTAGGTGAAAATCGAAATAGTCTGTGCCTACCCTGTCTTATTAGACTGATGTAGGTTTCTCACCCATAGTGTCTCCATTGCTTCCTCACCTCTAAAAAGCAAATATCGTTATTTTGTAACCTTGGTTGCTAGCAGTTTGTTGGCTTTTGTTAAATCTTCTGTGTTGCTGGGCAGCCAGGAGAGGAGGAAGGTATAAAGGGCAAAGTGGTTTAGAAAAAAGGTGAAAGATGATTGGCTGTGAGTGCCTAGCAGAGGTTGAAAATAAACAGGTAGGGAGCCAGCCAGCTTTGTGGAGGATCTTTTAAACTGTGTGTAAATTCAAACAGCTCTTTGTAATTTTACGTGTGCTAACATGAGGCACGACTCACAGAATTGGCTCCAGCTGCTGTTGCTGGCTTTTGGGAACTTCTGCAGGGGGAAGAAAAGGCACTTCAGTGTAGTTCTCTGGTGTTTACTCTTCTGGCAGAAACCAACAAATACCTACTAAGAGATTGTTTTATTTATCTCACTTGTTTATTTGGATTTTGGTTTTGCCTTCTCTCCTTCTACTTTATAAGTATTTCCAGAGAAAAATATTAAGTGAAGTTCTTTTTTCATTAAAAACTATTACAGTTGTGGTATCTATAACTCTATTTTGTTTATTGTAGGGGTCTCGGGTCTGGCTGCGAGAAAATAATCAGCATTATCCCAGTACTGTGCATTCCTGTGCGGAAGGAGTCGTCGTATTCAGGACAGACTATGGTCAGGTATGGGCAACATTTGTTTACCTGGTTTTGCCACTCTGTGGAAAAGAAGCTTTCTCCTTGTGGGCAGGGCATAGGTGAAACTAAAAGCCTAAGGTTTGTGAATGAAATATTCGTTTTGTATGATCAAAATGAGCAACTCAGGTTTAATAGCTGTTTCCATTGCCTGTCTGGTCAGTTGCTATGATTATGCCTGACAAAGCTGAAGCCACGCTGCCAGGTATGAGAGCCTTGTTCCACACAGGTCTGTGGTTACGTATTTTGCAATAGGTAGGTGGCCTCTCCATGGTTGTGTTCCCTTACAGTAACATAAAAGGGGGCTGGCACTTGGCACTGCAACATCATGGTAGTGGAGTGCCACAGATACAATGGGAAGCAGCAAGGCAGAACTCCCAGAGCAAAACTGGGGCAGCTCCGCCAGCTCCAGTTACAAGAGGATCGAGGGAATGATTATACCTGCTTCTTAGCTGTCAAGCACTCCCGGCTCCTGCCAGGAACAGAGATTGGTCCCAGCATCTCCTTGGGTTATTTTGGCCCACTCAGGCAGTGTGTAACTATTTGTCTGGCTGCCAGTGGTGAAAGAAGCTGATGGGGAGCTTGAGCTTGTCTCTCCACCCCTCCTTTTTTTTTTTTCCTTTTTCTTTAATTAATTTCCCTCTTTAAGCCATGGGGGGAGGTGGTGGTGGTGGTGAAACCAACAAACTTCATTAGTTTGGCCTGCTTGTGGTAAAAGCAGGTGATGTGAAATGGGGAGATTGTAGGGAGCAGACTTCAGATCTGTGACGTGGCATTCGTCTCCTTGGCAGGTCTGAGCTGGCTACTGCTCAGCCAAAGGCACACTAGCAATTCACTGCATTTAATAACTTAATTCTTTCAAGGTTTATGTTTTGAGGAGCGCACTTTGTGTGCAAAAGGACCAGGTCAGCTGACATTGCCTGATTAATATTTATTTTTTTCCCCATTGCTTTCCCTGATAAGCTTTTAGCCCATCCTGCCCTTGCTGTTTGATGACCTGCATGCTGCAGAAGGTTGCAAGCAGGTGAAATGAAACTAAGATAATGCCTGATGATTACCTCTGTTAGCCTGGAAATACCTGCAATGCTGTATATCACTTTGAAGAAAAAGGCAGGGGAAGCAAGGAGTCAGGTTGCAGAAATATGGGGTGATGATGATTTTTTGAAGCGTGGCCAGTGTATTGATTCCCAGACCATTTTGACAACTGCAGCTCATGGTCAAGTCTAATGACAAACTGATGAAAGTGTTTGGACCTTATTACATTGTTATTCATCTTTGATTCAGTAACTTGTACTAGACTTCACACTATTTCATCTTTCCACTGAGGATTTTGCATGACTCCTCAAAATGTGATTGACAGGGTGGTGGGCTAGGAAGGTGTGTTTGCTAGAATTGTGCTCAGGTTTTACTTTTGAGTTTGGATTTCAAGCCTTTGTAAACATCAGTTCATAGAGTAATGGAAACAGCATAGCACAATACATCTTAATTTCTTCTTTCTGTTCTGAGTAAGATAAATTGGCTGCAGAAACCTGCAGTGGCATACAGTTGTACGCTAAAGGAGTATTGGTTGTAGGGAATCCTACCCAATGCCAACACTGCAAGAATCTGCAGAACCTTTTAATATTTTGAGAAGTTGCATATCAGGTATTGAATCTTTTCTTGGTAATCACATGACAATATAATTCATTCTCAAGTATTTTTGTGTTGCCTGAAAGTTTCAGTTAAGCAGTCTATTAGTTAATTATCATTAAAGACGATTGCAGTACTGCCTTCTGCTGTTGTCACCCTCTGTGCGAGATAGTTATAAAAGGCTGATTTCATAGGCTGTGGGGAATATCCAATACATATAATATACTAAAAAGGAAATTTCAGGTTATAGGTTTGGGTTTCCCTGAGCAAATTGCTACGAAACAACTTTCACAGACTTATACAACAGTTTGAATTGGGGAGGACCTTTTAAGGTCATCTGGTCCAACCTCTCCTGCTGTGAGGAGGGACACCTTCCACTAGACCAGGTTGCTTAAAGCCCTATCCACTGCAGGCTTTCAACACTTCCAGGGATGGAGCATCCACAGCTTCCCTGGGCAACCTGTTTCAGTGTCTCATCACCCTCACAGTAAAGCATTTCTTCCTAATATCTAACCTAAATCTCCTGTCTGACCTTAAAGCCATCCATCCCCCCTTACCTGCCCTCTTGAGATTTCTTGTAGGCCCCCTTTAGGTACTGGAAGGCTGCAATAAGGTCTCCCTGAAGCCTTCGCTTTTCCAGGCTGAGCAAGCCCAACTCTCTTGGCCTGTCTTCATAGGGGAAGTGCTCTTAACTTGTTGTGGAAGGAGGGTTGGGAGGGAGGAAGAAGGAAGCATGGCACTGTAGAGAGTAGATGAAAGGCTCGTTACACACAGGGATGGGATGAGTACATCATGGCCGTGTTTCACCATCCCAGCCCATGATAAAGGAGTGGGAGATGAAAGGTATGACATCCCTCTTAGCAGACATTCATGATGCTGGGCTGCAGCTGGCTCTGGAGTGCCTCACAAAAAGCCTTCTGCAGGCTGGCCTTGAAAATGAAAGGTTTACAATGGCTTGAGAAGCTGCAGTGAGCACAGTTCATTTTGTAAATGTTTTTCCTCTTTATAAGCACCTCCCAGATGCTTTACAGAAGAGAAGATGCTGTACTCATTTGCTGGTTGGTGGGTTGGTTGGTTTGGTTTTTGTTCCATTACAGTGGACAGAGCTGGTGAAGGACTCAGTGCCTGACGTTTTGGAAACACCGTGTCTGTGAATACGCATTTAAAGTATGTCAGTGCAGTCTATGAATGCTCAAAATTAAAAAAAAAAAAAACCTCCTAATTTTTCCTTGTCTATATAGACACATACATATATAGTAACTGTAATGTAATCTTTTATAAATATATCTATATTTTCATGTTTGAGGGTATTTTTGCTCCCTCTATTTTTAGGGTTAAAATTATTTCTTCCTTTAAAGTTTTATTTGCAATAAAGCAGACATTTCCTCATTGTCATATTCTATAAATTTTTAATGAAGTTGTGTATATATAACACTCAAGTGAATGTTTAAATAAAATGCTAAAAGCTCTGCTGTTACTGTATGCTTTGTTTGAAATGACTTACATGTGTATGCTGGATAGAGTACTGGTGGTTTTGTTGAGAATAAACCTCTTTCAAGTTTCCTTCCTTTTCTTCTCTGAAAAATGTAACCTTTATTTCAGATAAAATACTGACTTTCCCTGTGCGTGGAAGAGGACTGCATTGTGCTCTTGACTTGTACAGACACACTTGAAACTGTCCCCAGTGAAAGCATAGATAGCAAATAGAAAAACCTTGGGGGCTGTAAAACCTTTTAGAAGAACTGTCGAGTTGCATGGGATTAATTTCAAGATCATCTTTTTTGTCTCCTAATTAGGACTCTCTACTTTTTCTTCCATTTATACATCCAAATATATATAAAAATAATGCTACTAAGTGTGTAATCAGTGTGGTTTCCCCACCCCTGTTTTATTTTTTAATGTCTTGGTGGTTTGTGTAAGTAGCACTGTGTTTAAGCCTTTGAGCACTGAGGAATTTCAGAACAGCACTAAGAGCACACATTTTAATAATGCCCATTCCCTTGCAAGGGAAAACCTATAATGTAAGACATATAAGGTGTGTGTGGGTAGGGGAAATCTGCTCTGAAGAAATTCATCCAAGGAGAAGTAAAAGTTGAATCAATTCCTGCAAACTGACCCAGGTCTGACACTGAAATTTCAGGATACTTAGTTGCATACCTGCTTAGCTGACTGAAAGGAGCTTTTAAATCAAGTATCTTATAAATAGAAGCAGCTGAGTGGTAATATCCAAAAAATGTAGGCTTTTTAAAAACAGATGTCACATTTTACCCGTAAAGACTTCCACAGTTAAACCAGCTTTCTGTGAACTTTCTCTGCAAAGAAGTCCATCATGTCATGGTGTTATATCAGCAAACTGTGCTGCTCAGTATCTGTAGCTTCAAATCAGAAGCACCTGTAAGTGGTTTGATCAGCAACAAAAGTATTTTTTCCTGTGTGTTTAACTTACTGTGGCTCTACTGGGGCATATCTGCATCTCGGGGATTGGAAGGCTACAGATGGTCCTTGTTAAACATGGCTCAAGTATGTTTTCCACAGAGGTTTTCACCTTTCTTCTTCCCTACCCCCCTCCTCCTTTAGTTTGAAGGCTGGGAGTGTTTTTCATAGTGACCTCATTCAGAAGAGTCACACTTGGGCTTTGTTTGAGGTTTGGGGGTGATTTTTTTTTTTCTTTCTTTCCTTGGTTCTTGGGGTTCCTTTTGTTTGGATGTTTTGTGTTAGCAATAGGATTATGCTGAAATTACCGAGTGGTTGTACTAGGAGAGTGCGTGTTTTCTTCATTTTTGGTTTAAAAGAAAAGAAATAAAAATCTCAAACCTGCAGGCAATGGTTAAGCACTTCTCATAAGGACTCTTTCTTTGCCTTGTGTCCTTTCTCACCCTTGCTTGGGTCTCTCTCGTGCTAGCCTTTGCTACTGTGAGGAGCCCTTTTAAACAAGAGTCTTCCGTTCATATTCACAGGGCATGAATAACACCACTGAAGTTACTTGGCTTAAGTTACTGAAGTCAGTAGGACTGTTTATCAGGAAATGCTGTGTTTGGCTTCATCGGTTCATTAGGATCGGGCATTGGAGAAGTAAATCCTTCTGGACAAGGATTTTCTTAGTTACTGTAGAAAAGCATCGTGCTTGCTTCTAGCTCTTCCATGTGAAGACTCAACAATCTTTACGAACAGTGTTTTTGTGGACATTTCCTTGACTTCAATATCCATTACTCTTGAAATACACCCTTACAGGGCAGCATTTTAAAGAAGCCCTTTGTGTGTTCCTTTGTGTATACAGCCTCTTAAGAAAATTCACAATTATATTCAGTGGGCTTTGGTCTTGGCTGCTCTTAGCATTAAATAAATCTATCTCTTTCTGC